CCCCTCCACCCATTCCCCCCTTCCCCCTTCCCCCCCCCCCCCAGGGCGGGAGGGGGTGGTGCAGGGGGTTCGCGGCGCGCCTGCTTGGCGCATCCCGCTGAGGCCTGCCCGCTTGGTTCAACGGTTAGTCGAGGTGTCCCCAGCGCTGAAGCGCATGTTCGCGGCCGCGCCTATCACCCCAGCAAGGCCGTGGAACGTGATCCTTGCGCACGACGAGGTCACGCCTGGAGCTGTGCTGCGACCGCATAACCGCAGGAAGTTCGTTGCATTTTACATTTCGTTTCTAGAATTCAAGCATGCCCTTCGGCACGATTGCTGTTGGTTCCCCCTGGGCGTGATCAAGTCGGCACAAGTGGAGAAAATTCGCGGTGGCCTCTCGGGCACGATCAAGTCGTTGCTGCGTCGCTTGCTTCTTGAGGACGGCAATCTCGTGGATGGCGTGGCCTTGCCGCTACAGGGCGGGCCGACAATGTTCTTCGCGAAATTTGCCGTACACTTGGGAGACGAGGTCGCTTTGTCCAGGGGCCTCGGCGTGAAAGGATCTGCAGGGATCCGACCGTGTCTGAAGTGCGCCAACGTGCTCAAGAAAGGCTCAGGCATTTCTGGCGCTGGCGCCGCGCCCAATCGGTCGGTGGAAATCACATGCAGGGACCGCGGCGCATTCATTTGTAATTCTGACGAGGCCGTATGGGGAGCCCACGACGAGTTGACGCACTTACAAGGGACAATATCGAAAGCCGCATTTGTGCGCCACGAGAAAGCACACGGCATCAATTTTAATCCTGATGGGTTGTTGGCGGACGCAGACCTCCGAGGGCAGGTCGGCCCTGTTTCGTCGCTCCATTTTGATTGGATGCATGTGTATTTGTGCAATGGTGTTGCGTCCCAGGAAATGTTTTGCTTCATGTCGGCATGCCAAGCCATTCCTGTTCTGAGGGACATCTATCCGAAGTTGGAACGGTACTGCCAGGCAGACTGGTCTTTCCCCCAGCAACACCGACGCAAGTGTCGGGAGGCCCACGTTGTTTTCTGCAAGGCCAGGGAGAACGCATCCAAGGAGCATTGGCGAAGCAGCGCCTCAGAGTTGTTGTGCATTTACCCGCTGGTGCGGCATTTTGCTTGCATTGTTATCTTGCCGAATTTCGATGAGCTGCGCGACGAAGTTGCCTCCCTCTGCCATTGTTTCGCTGTAATTGACAAAATTCAACGGGCGAAGGCGGGCGACATCGATGCCTCGGCCCTCGGAGCTGCAGTTGATCGCCACGCGGACGCGCATGAAAAAGCATACGGGGCCGACAATTGGAAACCAAAGTTTCATTTGGCGACGCACATTCCCGAGCAAGTGGAGAAATTCGACGTTGTGTTGGATTGCTTCGTTGTTGAGAGGTCGCACCTTCTGCCGAAAATGATTCTGGACAACCAAGATATACTGAAAGGCTTCGAGAAAGCTGCAATTTCTCGCGTGCTGTTGGCGCGCCTGCAGGAGCTCGAAAGTTTCGACGAGCGCCCAGGGCTCAGGGGGGGCGATGCGGAGTTGTCGCCCCTGCTGGCTGAAGCAGTCGGCGGCGACGTCGTCCTTTCATCCAGCGCTGCTTTCAAAGGCTTGCGTGTTTGGGCAGGCGACGTGGTGCGCATGCAGAACAATTTTCTATGCGTCGCAGCTCTGGGCCAACGGGGGGGCGATCTATTCATTCTTGGGCACGAGTGCGTCGTGATCGAGAAGCGGACGCCGAACGCGTCAGTCCTGCGGAAGGACGGCGAATTGCTTCTTGCGTGGTGGAGCGGCGAATCGGTTGAGATGTGCCACGCTTGGTCGGAGCTCGCCTCTGGCGACATTCTTGCTTTGCACTGAGCGGAAAACAACATCTGCCAGGACAGCGATTGAATCGCTCATCAAAAAACATTAGCGATTGAATCGCTCATCCTCCTCCACTCCGCATCTTTCTTCGGTCTGCGATCCTGCAGCGATTGAATCGCTCATCCTCCTCGCAATCCGCCTCTTTCTTCGGTCTGCGATCCGAAGCCTCAGCAGCCACGCGGCGTCGGGGGGATGGGGGTACGCGGGGGAGGAGGGGGGGGAGGGGAATGATAATGTGCGATATGTACAATTCGAGGGTTGCAAAGGAGCCCAAATTTAACTTAGTTCAGACAGTTGCAAGTAGTTTACAAGTTATTTGTAACTTTGATAAGTTCTTTGGCCTGCAACTTACAACTCGCAGTTACGATAGTCACATCCCTGGGTAACTTTGGCAGCTGCAATTACAAGTGGTAAACAATGCAACCATCTATGCTAACATCAAGTTGGGTAGTTGCATGTTAGTTCTTCAGATGACCTTAGCTATGTATCAACTTACACCATGCTGTAACCAAAGCTGGCCAGCTTCAAGTTTTCTAACCCAAAGTCGCTACGCCAGCATACACCCACATGACGACGATGAGGACATGCGCAAGGCAGAGGCGACCTGGAATAGCCAAAATCTTGCAAGACGTTCGGCACGCCGTGCACCCATGTGGCAAGACCACAAGGGGGCGGCTTAGGACAGAAAGCGTGCGTAGCATCGCGATCCGTGAGCCAGGAGAAATAACAACGGGGAGTATGAGGGGGTTGGCCACTGGGGACATGGATGGCGGAAAGCGCGCGTGGCGTCGCGAGGGGCCAGTGTGAGGGGTTTGTTGGGACCCGCCCCAGATGACAAGAAACGCGCGTTGTGTCGCGATCCGTTAGTTCGGAAAATCAACAAGCGGGAGTGTGAGGGGGCTGGCAGGGGAAAACCCAAGACCTAATCACCCGAACTTCGGCCATTCTCGGGCCAAAATGGCCCAAGTCGGCCTCGAGAACGCACAGGAGGCACCCAAAACGGCCCAAGAGTCTCCCAAGGCGGCGGCCTGACATACCTCCAGGACGGTCTCAGGGAGGCCCGAGAGGACCCCAAGACGGCCCAAGAGCGCTCAAAGCGAGACCAAGGCTGCCTTAAGACAGCTAGAGAGGCCCCCAAGACGCCCCAAGAGGCCCCCCAAGGGACCCCAGTCCATCGGGGAAGCCCATATGTTTAGCACATTCGCTTCTTTGGTCTGAGCAGCGGCCCAAGACGGCTTAACAGGCCCCCAGGACCGCCCCAAGACGGCCCAAGAGGTCCCCGAGAGGGCCCCACGACGGCCCTAGTGGGCTCCAAGACGGCCCAACCAGGAGAGCCCCAAGAAACCCAACAGAGGCCCCTGACGGTCCCGAAAGGTTGCCGAAAAGAGTCCCTAAGAGGGCCACGGGAGGGCCCCGAGACAACCCAAGCCCCCCGCCAAAAAACCCCAGGCGGCCCAAGAGGGTTGTCCGCAACCGCTTTGGCTCGAGCCCACCGTCTGGTGGAGACGAGCAGACCCACGAGAAACACCGGCAACGCCGATGCGTCCATATAGCTGCATCATCTCGGGTGTTGCTAGAAGTACCCCTGGCCTAAGCTACTCCCAGGATTCTCGTGCCCAGATGGCCTCCAGGGCACCCCTCACGAGGCCCAGAGGTCCCCAGGGGCTCCAAAATGGAGCGAAAAGCTGGGGGCACTTTGGGCCAGGGGCACTTCTAGCATTAAGTCGGGCCTGTCTCTCTACCGGGGGAAAATCCAAAGACAGTTAAAACAAACAGGCTGGGGACTATTTGTGGAGCCTCTGTCTTCAGAATCCTCTGCGCATTTTCCCACTCATTCCTCGAAGAGCCCCCCCGTCGGGGGACACGCCCGACTGACACTTCTAGCAACACCCGACCCTCGCGCTCCTCTGCGCGGCGCTCCCGCCCGCGCGCGGGGCGCTCCCGCCCCCGCGCCGGCGGCCCCCCGGCGCGCTGCTGCGCCGCGAGGCGCCGCCCGGGCGCCCGCCCGCGGGAGGGCACGGCGCCCCCGCCATGGGGCGCAGGGCCCGCTGTCGTCGACGCGCGGTCGGTGGCCGCGCCGCGAGGCGCTCCGCAGCAGGAGGGAAGAATCAGAGGAGGAAAAGGTACCCATACCTCTACCCTTCGCACGGTTTTCCCCCTTTTGGGCCTCCGGAGGCTCCTTGCGCCACCGGCTTGGATCGCCTCGAAATCCTGGTCAGAACGGACCCCGGGAGAGTCCGGGGAGGCGATATCGGTGCCTTTTTGTTTCCCCGAAGAAAGCACACAGACACCATTCGTCTCTCGAGCAGGAGGTCGGCGGCAGAACTGGCCTGCCCCAGAATGGAGGTTTCTCTCGTCGAGTCCAGGAGGGGAAGAAAGCACACAGACACCATTCGTCTCTCGAGCAGGAGGTCGGCGGCAGAACTGGCCTGCCCCAGAATGGAGGTTTCTCTCGTCGAGTCCAGGAGGGGAAGAAAGCACACAGACACCATTCGTCTCTCGAGCAGGAGGTCGGCGGCAGAACTGGCCTGCCCCAGAATGGAGGTTTCTCTCGTCGAGTCCAGGAGGGGAAGAAAGCACACAGACACCATTCATCTCTCGAGCAGGAGGTCGGCGGCAGAACTGGCCTGCCCCAGAATGGAGGTTTCTCTCGTCGAGTCCACGGGCAAAGTCGTAGAAGTGTTTCGCGGGTCTACGGATGGTTGACGTATGTTTTTGTGGAAGAGTCGACGTGAGAGTCAATTTTGGGGTAAATTAATTCCGTAGTCGATCCCCCAGTCGAATCTTCGGTTCCCCAGAAGATATGGGAACCTATGGGAAGGGGGGGGAGGCAACAGACCCAGAAGATGTGGGCAACTATGGGGAGCCCTGTGGTTTGTGTGTGTGTTTTTATTGGTGTGTCCCGGGGCCCCTTCACTCTAGGCCTCCTTGATGGGGTCCCAGCAGGTGGGGTCGGAGCATCGCGCCGCATCATCGACGCATCGACGATGCGGCTCGATGTGTGGCGGCGGCGCCGAGGCATCGCCGGTGCGTCGCCGGTGCAGCGCCGATGCATCGGCGCTGCATCGGCGCTGCGGCACGATCCCTCGACCCCGGCTGCTCGGAGCCCCATCTGGGCGGACTCTCGAGGCGCCGCGGGCCA